CTAAGGTGGCATTTCCCGACAGTTAGAACAATTCACCAGTGGAACAGAAGTGGCCTTCAACAGTTATGGGTGCTTCTTTTGAAGAGGAGGGTGGAACAGCCATTTGTCTCAAATGGTATAGGGTTTCTTGCCCGACTAGAAGACCTCCAAGGTCCCTTCCAACTCTGTTATCCTGTTTGCAGCAACTAGGTATGTCTAACCTAACAAAGAGAAGGACTAGGAGTGACATGATAACAATTTTTCAATATCTCAGGGGCTGCCCCAAAGAAGAGGGAGTCAATCTATTCTCAAAAGCACCCGAAGGCAGGAGGAGAAGCAACGGATGGAAACGAATCTAAGGAGAGAAGCAACTTGGAACTAAGGAGAAATTTTCTGACAGTGAGGACAATTAATCACTGGAAGGGCTTGCCTTCAAAAGTTATGGGTGCTCCATCGCCGGAGGTTTTCGAGAAGAGATTGGACGGTCATGTGTCCGGAGTTGTACAGGGTCTCCTGTTCGAGCAAGGGGTCGGACTAGAAGACCTCCAAGGTCCCTTCCAACTCTGCTATCCTGATGCCAGGAGTTGGGTGTGTCTTGTTTAATGAAAAGAAGGACCAGGTCTGACATGATAAGCACTGTTGCAATATTTGAGGGGCTGCCACAAAGAAGAGTGTGTGTTTGTGCGTGTGTGTGTGAATCTGTTGTCCAAATCACCTGAAGGCAGGACAAGAAGCAACAAATGGAAACTAATCAAAAAAGAGAAGAATTAAGAAGAAATTGCTGGCAGTTACAACAATTAATCAGTGGAAGGCTAGTGAAGATTAGATTCATTGGGGGAATCTAACACAACATGCTAAGCCGAAGCTAGATAAACCATGTTATGGTATAGCACAAGGGCCTTCAAACTTGGCAAGCTTAAGACTTGTGGACTTCAACTCCCAGAATTCCCGAGCTAAGATGACTGGAGGAGGAATTCTGAGAGTTGTGAAGTCCACAAGTCTTAAATCTGTCAAGTTTGAAGGCCCCTGGGTTAGATTAATGAAAAGAAGGGTAGCGGGTGACATGATAGCAGTGTTCCAATATTTGAGGGGCTGCCCCAAAGAAGAGGGGGTCAACTTATTTTCCAAAGCCCCTGAAGGCAGGACAAGAAGCAACAGATGGAAACTGATCTAAGGAGAGAAGCAACCTGGAATTAAGGAAGAATTTCCTGACAGTGAGAACAATGAACCAGTGGAACTGCTTTCCACTAGAAATTGTGGGTGCCCCATCACTGGAGGCTTTTAAGGAGAGACTGGACAAGGGTCTTCAAACTTGGCAAGTTTAAGACTTGTGGACTTCAACTCCCAGAATTCCTGAGCTAACATGACTGGGGAAGGAATTATGGGAGTTGACCTCCACAAGTCTTAAAGCTGTCAAGGTTGATCTATCTATCTGTCTGTCTATCTATCTATCTATCTATCTATCTATCTATCTATCTATCTATCTATCTATCTATCTATCTATCATCTCTCTCTCTCTTCTCTCTCCATACCTACCTACCTAATTACCAATCAATCAATCAATCTATCTATCTATCTATCTATTTCTTTCTATCTATCTATCTATCTATCTATCTATCTATCCATCTATCTATCTATCTATCTATCTATCTATCTATCTATCTATATCTATCATCTATCACAAAGGTCTTCAAACTTGGCAAGCTTAAGACTTGTAGGCTTCAACTCCCAGAATTCCTGAGCTAACATGACTGGGGAAGGAATTATGGGAGTTGACCTCCACAAGTCTTAAAGCTGTCAAGGTTGAAGACCCCTGGTACAGTGTGTTGAACAGACTAGTTCTCCTTCTTTTGTCCCTTATTCTGCTTCCTGATGGACAGATGACCTATTCCAGGCCGTTGGTTTGACAGATCACCTGGAAGAGACGTGCAAATCTGGCACTGGAAAATGTCTCTGAGTTTCAAGATATCAGTGGAAATATTTATCTTGGAAGATCTTGTGAGCTTGTATCTCTGTGATTATCAAAGCCCTGAATTGGTTCTTTCATTCACGGGAAACTATATAACTGGCAGCCCAAGAAAAGATTAGGGAGGACAGATCTGAGCACACCGAGGACGCTCCATCCATCCATCCATCCATGTAAGTCAACTGTGTGATGGTCCAAAGGTACCCCAGATAGTGGAAGAATCCCCTTCTTAGAAAGTTGATGGATATGTAAGATTGGGGTTGAGTCTCCCATCCAACCATTCCTGCATCTTCAGCTCCAGAGTCTGGGGTGCAACTCCAGGATGAGTTCCAGCAGGATTAGAAAGGGCCACCCATGTCTTCTTCTGCAGAGTTGTCAATTGAGGTTCTCAATCTCTTTTTTTTAAAAAAATGTTCTATCAGTTTCCTCCAATTGCCTTTTCTATGGACAGTCATCAGATACTTCTGGGCTCCATCCCTTGAGCTGGAGGGCCCCAACAGGTTAACAGATTAACAGAGTTGGAAGGTACCTTGTGGGTCATGTAGTCCAACCCTCACCCCCACCAAAGCAGGAGACCCTAGAATATTTCTGACAGAGGTCAGTCAGATCTCTTCTTGAAAGCCTCCAGGGATGAAGCTCCCACAACCTCTGAAGGCAACTTCTGTTCCATAGGTTGATTGTTCTCACTGTCAGAAAGTTTATCTTTATTTCCAGGTTGAATCTCTCCTTGTTCAGCTTCCATCCATTCTTCCTTGTCTGGCCTTCAGGTGCCTTGGAGAATAGCTTGACTCCCTCCTCCTCCTCTCTCTGGCAGCCCCTCAAATATTGGAAGACCACCATCAAAGTCTCCCCTGGTCCTTCTCTTCACTAGACTATCCATGTCCGGTTCCTGCAATCATTCATCATATGTTTTAGCCAGTGGTGGGATTGAAATAATTTAACCACCAGTTCTCTGCCCTAATGATTTCTTCCAACAACCAGTTCACCAAACTGCTCAGGAAGTTAATAACCGGTTCTGTTGAACCGGTGTGAACCGGCTGAATCCCACCACTGGTTTTAGCCTCCAGTCTTCTAATCCTCCTGGTTGCTCTTCTCTGTACTTTTTCTAGAGTCTCAACATCTTTTTTATAATGTGGGGACCAAAACTGGATGAAGTACTCTAGGTGTGGCGTTACTAAGGCTTTACAGAGTGGTCTTAGTATCTCCCTTGATCTTGATTGTATCCCTCTGTTAATACAACTTAGGATTGCATTGGCTTTTTTGGCTGCTGCTGCACACTGTTGGTTCCTATTTAGCTGGTTGTCCCCTAAGACTCCAAGATCCCTCTCCCAGTTCCTGCTATTGAGCCTGGTTTCACCCAGTCTATATGGGTACTTTTTGGGTTTTTGGGGGCTAAGTGTAAGACTTTAGTTTTCTCTACCTTGAGAAAAGGTCTTTGACTCTGTCCTTCTTCTAGAAGATGAGAGGGTCAATATGGGCAGAAGACCAGAAGATCAGAGACTGGGTGTTATAAGGGGAACCCATGTTCTCCAGGGCTACAGCAGCTCAGTGTCTGCCATTTTGAGCCTTTGAGGCTCCGCCATCATGGGAAATGATTAGAATAAAACAAAACCAGGGCTCTTCCTTCTCACTCTCTCCAAAAAGCAAAAAGGGAGGTGATTATTTATTTGAGGACATCTTTAGTTTGAGGCTAAATGGCCTTCCCTTGGTTTCATCCAGATGTTTTCATCTAGAGTGAAGAGGTGTGAGGTGCACTTGGTAGTCAAATCAAAAACCATTTGATTCCCTTTGAATGTCTGGAAACCCAAAGAGATGGTGGCCTTCAGTTTGCCTCTCCTTCCATCAGGTTCTTTTGAGCTCTGTCCCTTGAGTTGAGGTGCCCATCAAATCTTTGACTCCGTCCATCTTCTAGAACAAGACCAGGGATGACATGATAGCACCGTTCTGATATCTCAAGGGTTGCCCCAAAGAATACACAGTCAAGCTATTCTCCAAAGCAGCTGAAGGCAGGACAAAAAGCAATGGATGGAAACTCATCAAGGACAGAAGGGAGGACAATTAATCATTGGAGGAGCTTTTTTGTAGAAGTTGTGTGGGTGTTCCATCCCTGGATGTTTTTAAAGAAGGGTTTGGACAGAATGGTATAGGACAAGGGTCTTCAAACTTGGCAAGTTTAAGACTCGTGGACTTCCACTCCCAGAATCCCTGAGCTAACGTGATTGGAGGAGGAATTCTGGGAGTCGAAGTCCACGAGTCTTAAACTTGCCAAGTTTGAAGACCCTTGGTATAGGATATCCTGCCTGAGCAGGGGGTTGGACTAGAAGACCTCCAAGGTCCCTTCCAACTCTGTTCTTCTGTTACCCAAGAGAACCAACGTAGAACCAAGGAGGAATTTCCTGACAGTGAGGACAATTCATCGGTGGAAGGACTTGCCTTCAGAAGTTGTGGGTGTTCCAACAACTTTTAAAGAAGAGATTGGGCAGCCACTGGTCTGAAATGATATAGGGTTTCCTGCCTGAGCAGCGGGTTGGACTAGAAGACCTCCAAGGTCCCTTCCAACATTGTGATGTTGAAATCCATGTCCTCCGTGGCTACCTTTTCAGTGACTTAACAGCATCTCCGTGTCTGCCATTTTCAGCCTTTGAGGCAGGGGTGGGGTGCTACAGGTTCGGCCCGGTTCTACAGAACCGGTAGCTCTGAAGAGCAGCAGACTACTGAACTGGTTCGCTGCGACAACCCGCCGAGCCACCCGCCGGGGCTCTTGGCTGTCCTTTATTTCTTGCTTTTTCAACCTGAGCTGCTTTGCGCGGCACAGGTGAGGTTGAAAAAGCAGGAAAGAAAGAGGAGTTTGAAAAGGCTTGTCAGCTGTCCAGGTGGCACAGCTAACGGTTTCTTGCAAATGCTGTACAGGTGTGTGCAAAACGCACTCACACCGAACCGATAGTAACGCCGGTTGAATCCCACCCCTGCTTTGAGAGTTTGCCGTGAGGGGAAAAAGGATCGGAAGGGAGCAAAAACAGGCCTCTCCTTCATTCCCCGAATCTGAAGACTCAGGTTCTCACTCCATGTTTTTACAGCCAAGGATTCGTTTCTGACTTTCTGCCAGTCACCATGGATCAAGTCCTCAAGAGGCCCTGGCTTGGCGTGCTCGTCTTCTTCTGTGCTGCCATGGTCCCTTCGGAGGGTGGAGATTCCTGTAAAATCGTAGCTTATTTCGAGCCAGACACAATGCTGCGTAGTAAGTAAAATGGCTGACTTCCTGCTAGCTGAGACCGCTGTAAGAATACTGGGGGGGGGAGATTTCAAAGCGGTTAGCGCTTAGCAATAGCACTTAGACTTATATACCGCTTTATAGTGCTTTACAGCCCCCTCTCTAAGCAGTTTACAGAGTCAGCCTCTTGCCCCCAACAA